CCGCCAGGTGGCCCTTGGTGTACGTTCAGTAGCTGAATTGTCTTTACCATCGTAATATATATCGTTAAGATATATGTTTCACTGTAACTATTAAAATAAAGTCCTTTTCCAACTTTATTCAAAAGTAAAGACAAGACGAAGTTCTCAATAAGACAAATTTTGAATTAGTTTTACGTTTTTGGGACGATTCAGAAAGGAGAATTTAAATTGTTCCTCACGTTTGAAAGTTGAGAATATCTTAACTGTTGGGAGTTAAAAATCACTGGGAATTGTCCAGTAGAAAAGAATATTTCAATAATCAAGAACCAAAGGTATTTATAACCGTTTGGAAGATAGAACGTTTGACCATTGAAACGTTGGACCGTTGAAAAATTTTGAAAATTAAAATGGCAAGTAAATATAAACTCTGATGATTTTGAAGATTCTATATTGCCATCTCAATTAAAAGGCATGTTAGTTTCAAGATTGTTACATCAAAAAGCCCCCCTCTTAAGAATTTGCTCAAAAAGGAGTCATTCAAGAGCCAATGTTATGGCAAAAATTTGGTACGTTAAGGACATTTTAAGTTGGACAAGAGAAAAGGTAGGAACATGTTGTTCCTCAGATCTCAGCGAACTCGAAAATTGGTTAGAGAAAATGGAAGAAAGTATTAAAGACGGAGGATATGTTCCTAGAGAGGAGGACAGAGATGACGGTTGGCTCCAAACAGCAAAGTTGGTAAAGAAGCCTTTTAAGTCAGAATTTTGGATGAAAGAAACAGAATTCAAATCAAAAGAAATTCACGCTTCGGAGCAAAGATCTTTAGTAGAGGAATTTCCTCCTTTAGCAGACTACGAAGATGCAAATTTGATAAATTCTGAGCTACCAAATTCAGAAGTCAGGAGAAAAAGAAATGATTTCAAATTAGACCTTTCAGATAGAGATTCCGAATCTATAAAATCGTTATTGAGAGAGCGAAGAATTCAATCCTCCAGCAGAAATGAAAATCTTATCTACTTAAAGGAACCGGCATCCGAAATGATCTGGAAAGAAAAAGTTTCAAAGGATAAATCAGAGGAAATAGTTAATAGATTATGACCCTCGAACAAAGGAGTTATCAATACGAATACAAAATCGTAGCAAAGGCTAAGGAGATAATCTTGCCTATCGTAGAGGAAGCGGTACGGGAAGATGAGTTAGCTCGCTGGCATTTGGAGGAACAATTAATAAACTTTTTTAAAGGCAAAATATTGCGTCTATAGGAGTGATATAAACGGTTATTTAAAGAAAATTCATTCCACATAAAGGAACAAGTCACAGAGTTGTTAGACAAAAATCTTTATGGTTTGGAAGAAAGGCTAGACTTGCTGGAAGGAAAAATTAAATCGATTGAAAAGGAAATCTAAGTAATTGTTGCATGAATTTTGGTAGAAACAAATCCCCAGAGGAAGAAATTAAAGAATTGTTTGGTCGAATAACAGAATTCAAAGGAAACCCTGTAGAGTATGCAGTATTCAGAGTGGATAGCTACATTCTCAGAGAAATTCCCAAATGTCGACAGTTATGTCAAATTTGAAGCTTTGATGTCATGTTTAGACGAATCAGTAAGGACCCTAATACAAGAATATGCTTCCCACCCAAGTGGAAGCTTTGAATCAGCTTTAGAAAGATTAGATCGTCACTTTAATAGAATAGACAAATATGAGGAGATGGTCAACAGAATCCACGGCTATGGGAAACTGGATATAGGTGCTGGTGACACCTTAGTAAATCTCGCAGAATATATGCAGAGTGTAATAAAATTGTTCAGTGCTGAACAAGTCCGACCAATGGTTGCGGTATCAGTGGGAAACTTTACGGATTCTCTAAAGGAACTGTGGGTTAAAAGAACCAAAAGTAAAATAGGTACAAATGAATATGAACCAGAGAAAGAGTTAATTCAATTCTTAGAGTCTCAACAAAGCAAGCGTTTATCTGCAATATTCTCTGATCTCTAGCTCATCAAAGTCAGCCAATAGATTTGATGGTAAAGGTAAAGATCTTCAGACTGGGAGAATAATTTGCTATTATTGTGAAGGACAACATAGGATGTCGGAGTGTCCGAATTTGAAAGGGACAGCAAATTCGTGAGAAAAGAGAAAGTAACCAAGTTGAATAGATGTTTAAACTGCTTAAGGCTTGGCCACAAAGCAAGGAATTGTACCAAAAAACCTTGTGACAGGTGCCAACAACAAGTCCATCCCGCTTTACATAACTGTCGAAAGGTAGAAAACGCTTTACTGGTGGTAGAGGACAGAGCAAAAACGGCAAATATGGTTGACATTAAGGTTAACACTAAACAATGAAACTTGGTTGTAATAGGAGATACTGGATTGGACGTCACGTTAGTAAGAGATGATTTAATGAAGAAGTGGCGAATAAAGCCTATCACACAAACAGATCTAATAATAAATGGACTCGGAGTAATTCGACATACTGCAGACTTATATCAGTTGAATATAAATGGTTGTCAGATCGAGGCATATGGCGTTGAACATTTGCCAAGAGTAAATCAGCGAAAATTTAAACATGGAAATATCGAAATCCCTCAATTTCAAAATGAAAGAGTGGGTTTGGTAGTGGGCAATAATTATTATTTGTTATTACACCCCACAGAATCGAAAAATTTGGACAATGGGATGACTTTGGTAAAAAACAAGCTAGGCTGGTTCTGTTACAGTAGCAGCAACAATGCTAAAGTTGCAAAAAAAAAAAAAAAAAAAAAAAAAAAAAAAAAAAAAAAAAAAAAAAAAAAAAAAAAAAAAAAAAAAAAAAAAAAAAAAAAAAAAAAAAAAAAAAAAAAAAAAAAAAAAAAAATGCTAAAGTTGCAAGTCCCCAACCAAAGGGCATTAACATAGTAAATTACATCCCTCATCATGGAGTTCAGAGTAAACACAAGAAATTCAGAGTGGTGTTCGCATGCAATTACAGCCCTAGTGGAAATGATAGTATAAATGATAGATTGGCGACTGGACTACGTTTATTAAATAATATCAGACAAATATTAACTAAGATTCGTTTCCAAAAATACCTCATTGTGGCGGACATTAAAGCAATGTTTCATCAAATACATTTATTGAGAAGCCATTATAAATATTGTGGATTTTTATATTGGGCTAAGGGAACTAAAAAGTGTAAGGAAAACATTAAAGAATTTGTCCTAACTAGGCATATGTTCGGTTTAAAAGGCTCCCCTCGTTGCCTGTCGATCCTTACAAATGCTAATTGAAGAATCGAAAATATGGCTTCCAGAATGGAAAAAAGCAATTATCAATAATTTTTATATGGATGATTGGGTCAAAAGAAGATTATTTACAGTGGCGACTGGAACCCTTTAAATTGCGAGACGAAAAACCATCATATAGGGAGATGAACTCGGCTTTAATGCGGGTTTTTGACCCACTCGGTTATTTAGAGCCAATTAGAGCCGCTTTCAAGACCATATGGTCAAAAGCCTGTTGCCAAATGGAGTCAGGTAACTGGAACGCAAAAGTCCCGGATTCCTTAGTAAATGAATGGAGAATGTTGGCTAAAAAGTTGCCCAAAGAAATACGGTTGCCTAGATATATTGGAAATCCTTCAGCTTACTGGGTATATGTAGACGCATCTAATGATCGTCATGGTCCAGTAATTTATAGGCTCATTGAAAAAACTTGGCATATTGTTGGAGCAAAATCACGTCTTAATAAAGAAGGCGATCCTGATAACAAAACGTCGACTCCAAGGAGAGAATTGATGGCTGCTTTGTTGGGTGTTGAGTTAGCTTTAGAGTTCGAATCTTATAAATTAGAAAAGAAACCAACAACATTTTTGTCTGATAATAAAGCTGTCCTAGCATATATAAAGAATATGTCGATCCCTTTAGTACGATTCGAGAGAGATAGAGTCAAGAAAATTCTTAATCATACTGAGGATTATCAATGGGAATACATACCCACAGAGAATAATCTGGCCGATAAATTGACAAAATTAAGAGATTTTTCTTTAAAGGACAATTGGTTCAGTTTGGAAGATGTTGTAGAGAGAAAGTGTTCAAACAGTCTTCCTGGGGAAAGTGATCTTGCCATGGGAACAAGAAAGCGATTTCAGAAGAGAAGTAGCAGGTGATCCCAATAAATTTACTTCAGTAATTAATGAGAGAGTGAATAACAGAGGAACAGAAAATTATACCATCTGCAGTAATGGAAAAATTAAAATTGACCAGAAATGAATGGGGACATTTGGAAGTTGTTTTAAGAGATAAACGAACTAGAACCCTATTGCATAAAAATATGAGTGTAGCGAGAGTACTTATGAAATATGTACATTTAAGAACTGGCCATTCTGGACCTAATGCCATGCACATAGATTGAGGCATTTGTTTTGGACAGTTGGAGAGGTAGCGTTGGCAAATGACGTTTATGATAAGTGCCAGGAGTGTGAGGAGTGGAGGAAAAACAAAAGGTTCCAATATGATGGAAATCAACTGTGTAAGAATCAAATTATGGGTGAACCGATTCCCTTCGAATCAATCAGAATAGATGTGTTCGGACCATTCAAGAATAAAAATGGCGAAAAAAGATATGTCCTTATAGGAGTATGCTTAAAAACAAAGGCTGTCGCATTAGAACTAATGGAATCTATTAACAAGAATAGTGTTCAGTTAGCTTTACTGAGAATAAAATATTTAAGAGGACTGATAACAAACATTAGATTGGACAATGCAGCAACCTTTGCCCAAGTTTCAAAAAACTTTAATGGAAACTGGAAATTCACAAGCCCTAGAGCTCCATATCAAGGAGGCTTATGGGAATGATCAATAAGAACTGTGAAATGGATTCTGCGTCCTTACCTAAAGAATTGTTTTAAAGAAGAAAGTTGGAGAAGCCTACTCTCAGTTGCTGAGGAAGCAGTCTCCACGAAACCCCTTATAGCACTCATGAAAGTTCTAAGCCCAAAAACTCTTATTAAATATTATGGAGACTTAATGGCGAACTGGCGAAACTCCAAGAAAGCCAGGGATAATTGGAAGAAGATTTGTTTCAAATGGAACAGAGAAATGTTGGAAGAAGTTATGAGAGAAGTTAGAAAAGATGAAAAGGGAGAAAGGCCTTATATCGGACAATAAGTGTTAGTTAAGAATGACAGAAATAAGGCTGAATATAAGAAAGCAAAGATATCTTATTTGATTAAGTCTGATGACGGGAAGATCAGAAACGTTCTACTAAAAACGTCAGATGAAAAAGAGATGAGGAGAAGCTTAAAAGACTTGATCCCAATTAAATAATAGCTTAGTTTACTGCATTATTATTTTTATATATTTATGTATATGTTGGTGAAGACCCAGTTACCTTTCGTCCTTCCTTGGCGGGGAATGTTGAATAAGTTACAATAAGTAACGTATGTAATAGCCGGCAGAGGGCCGATGTATCTTTTAAACGTAACGTTGTAAGAGTCCCGCCAGGTGGCCCTTGCGTACGTTCAATAGCTGAATTGTCTTTACCGTCGTAATATATATGGTTAAGATATATGTTTCACGGTAACTATTAAAATAAAGTCCTTTTCCTACTTTATTCAAAAACCATATTATTAAAGCAAATTTTACATTGAAGATTTCTTTTTAGTTGATAAAAGATATTTAATTCTCTATTTGAAGAATCATGAAAAGCAGTTGCATTTCTAACAAAGACAGTACAAAGGAATTGTTAAGTTTTAAAGCAAATAGAATAGAAATAACAAATTCTTATTAATCTTACTTTTTTGACATTATCTTCTCATAAAAATAGTGACTGTAATTTACTAAAAACAAAGAAATTTTCGATCCAAAACAAGAATTATTGGTGAAAAGATAATTGTTAACAATAGAGGCCATTTAGATATGTTCGTGTGATACAGCTCAGGCTTTCTAAGCGCATAACATATTTGCCCACTGGACTACATATACAGCATGAAAATAGATTAATGTTTCGTTCTCCGATCCCTGAATTGTGAGCGACGGAACGTGAATCACAAACAGGCTTCGCAACATTCACACATTTGGACATTCGCATCATCATACATTTATACCATTACCACCATCATCATTCATAATGCAAAATGACATGCTTGGCAGTCATATACTTCTCGGCAGATATTTTTTTTTAACTTATTGGCAAAACTAACAAAGTCATTCGTTTTCAGATTGTTACCATATTTATTAGAATTTAATAGTCAAGAAATATCATGAAATCAACTAAAGGTCAAGGAATTCTTACTAAACGGTACATTTGAATAGTATTGTACAGGTCTAAACAATGAAACTTTAAAAAGAAACTTTTGAAGTTAGTCAATTTTTATTCTTTTTGTAAATATTCCAAATAGCTTATTGGAAACAACATAATTATGTGAAGTGGTGCATGTCTTAACATGACAACAATGATCATTTGGGAGAAAAGAAGACATTGAAGAAATAACGTTATTTTAACGAAAATCTTTTATCTACAACACAGAACTATATCAACTCGCCTTGAACAAAACACTAAATCACTGTTGATATTTGACTTCTTGACAATGAGCTCGATACTTGATCTCTAGTGTTGGATCTTGAAAAGCAGAATATTTTTAGAAACTCTTTCTTAAAAGTTTCCCCACAAAGACAATAGAAAAAAAAATTGACCATGTGATTAGCCCGATTTATAATGATTAATATTTCAAATATAAACATGTTCGTATTCGATAAAAAGTAATCATTTGATAATTTTACAAGATAGATATCGAACGCTGCAATCGGAAATGTAGTTACAATAAAGCAAGTTGATAGTGAAACAGTTAGAATAGCTAATTTCCTAGTTGATGATTTCAGTTTCTCTTTATGAGCTGCTTTACCATCAAACCCAGTCAAATTTTTAGCATGAGCCTTCAATTTAATAAATATAAGTATATTCAATATTCCCATACTAAAAGATGGAAATATGGCGTACATAATAAGTTCAATTAAATG